TCAAGCTACAGAAAATTCTGAAATGTGCACCTTTGTGTAATACGGTGCAGCCAAACCCCATATTAATTGCAGTATTTCTGTTGTTTGGCTGTTAAGTGGGTTTTCTTTTAGCATTGAATAGACATATTTCTGTTGCTTTTGTAGTTTTGTTTTTTCTTTTCATGAGGATGTCACCTTAGCTGGCCTGAACCTGCATGAGATAAATTCCTTCCAGCTTATTTCCCACTCTTCACTGAAGTGAATGCTGATTTTTTTTTTACCATTCTCAGTAGGAAGTCCATTGAGCCATCTTTTCATATTATCTCACAGGTGTTCTTATATAGTCTGTGGGCTGCAGTGTTGCAGCATGGAACTTTAAATTCCTCTGTGCTTCAGATCATACATCAATATTGCCTTCTCATCCTGTTTGTTAAAAACTTCAGCAATATTCAAGAAAATTGATAGCTTCTATGAGTCTCCTTTGTCCTTGGATCCAGCTTGTTAAAAACCTTGTGGCCTTTTCCCACAATTTTGCAGCATTTTAAGTTTCCAGCCTTCTAATTCACAGAATCACAGAATAATTAGGGCTGTAATGGACCTTCAGAGATCGTCTAGTCCAACCACCACAAATTTCATTTACTTTTTATCCCGAAAGTCAAAGAATCATCAGGTTGGAAAAGAACTTTGAGATCAAGTGTCACCCTGTAGTAACAATCAAGTCCAACCCATGACCTAACTATCAGGTCTTGGTCTTGGAACGAAAATTATGCTAGCAGATCCTTTGAGATTCACTGCTCCCACTGATATCAAAGCTGGCTCTGATTCTCCAGAGAATAGGCTCATTCCTGAAGTGTCCATCCAACACCATGACTGACCATGCTCTGTCTTACCAGACAATGCTATAAAATTCAAACACATGCCCAGGGTGTTTCTTAAGTAGTGAACTACCTTATAATAGTGATGTATTCCCTGTCTCCTTTGTCCTTATGATATTTTTAATAATTTTGCTGGGCTGGCATCTAAGTACACTTTCCTTTTCTCTTCCCCATGCCTCCAATGCAGCCTCATGACTAAAATAATCTACAGTAAAATCACTACTACATTTGGTGTCCACATAGGGACAGGCTGTTTAGGTCCATAAGTACAACCCATCAAGCTATTTAGCCCCTGCACAGCTCGCTGTCCTTAGCAGGACAGTGTCAGGGACAAATCATCATTCTTTTAGGAAAATCCCTGTTGTGACTTGTTGCAAAGCTAGAGGGTTTTGTAGACTGGCTGAAGTGTTGTTAAAGACAGATGCAAAGATAATAGATGAAAGATAATAGATGCCATGTCCTTGCCCTAGGAATTACATTGCAGGGCCATTATATCAACATTACATCAAGGTTTCTACTGACATAATTATATTAGGCATTGATCTTGCCTACTACATTATCTATCAAGCAGATGGTGAAGTAACACAAATATATCGACACTCACACAACAATTTACTGTGCAAGGCCACTCATGGCACTACACATTTGGGTTATTTAGCACTGGTCAAAACTTTTGCTAGAATGTAAAATTTCTTGGGGGAAAAAAATCAGTCCAATCTAAGGAAAAGAATTTGATCAGGGTGTGGCAAAGCATTAAAATCACGGTATTAAGAAGGAAACAGTCTGATCAGCAAAATAATAAGATTCCCATAATTAATAAAGCAGTTTATTTTTATTTCCTCTGATTTCATAGCTGCTGGAAGAAAGAGTATGTTTTGCTTGACAGTATTTTCTATGATGTAAAACATTTCTTTGTAGGGGATACAAATCCATGAACTTCAATTTTAACTTCTTTAAATGTCTGATACCATTAAGGATATTGCTGGCATTATGAAGGATTAGCAAATATATGCCAGAGTAAGCACAACAATCAGAACCAAAGCAAAAACAGAGTCTCAGAACCCAAGATGCAGAAGTAACTCAGGGGAATATTAGTACATATGCACCATTGCTAACATTTAGTTTAAAAATTATCCTAGTTGTTTATCTGCATCCATTTAACAATTCAGGCTTAACCATTAGAATAAAAATCAGTATGGCTGAGATAGATGCAGTATGTCATGGAGTGTAAGACACAGACAAGAAACAGTACCTAATAGCACCAGATTTGGGACATCTGCACTGTTAGATGCAAAACAAGAGAATTGATCTGCCCTGTGAGTTGGAAGCATCAAAGAAAGGTCCTGTCCAGGACCAGGAAGCACCCTGAATCAATCCCCTTACTGCACCCTTGCTAGCACAGAGGTAAACATTATCTCCTGTGCTGTACACTTTGCTGTCTAAGGCACAGTTTTGTTCAAAGCTCTTTCTGCTGGAAATATGTGTAACATTAATGCAGCTTTCTTTCCATGTCATATACTACTGTCTTCTCTCTTACTACACAGGATGAACTTTTGTTTCCATAATTGATGAACTTTTGTTTCCATAACAGCCCTCCTCACATTTTACTGTGACATGTATCTAACTACAACCTAGTCCTAGAGTAGCATGGCAGACATTCAGATACACTATTTAATACTAGTCTAGAGTTTGATGTATAAATCCAGGACAATAGTGCTGCATGAATTCTGCTTTAAAAGAGAGCTTTTCTGACTTACTGTTTACTTTCACATCTTTCAATAATTTTCTTACACAGTATAGAGAGGAAACTTGAAATGCTCACATTATATGGAATAATTTTGTTACTTTCTTGTTCTTTACAAGAAGACTGAATCTCCTGTGCTATTGCTGCCACCTGAGGCTTTTACTGTATTTGCTGTAGTCTTGTCTGGAAGACCGTATTTGCAGAACCAGAAAAAACAAATCCTATAGAATCCATTATGCATCCATCTGTGAAACTGCCCAACCTAAGAAATGGCAAGATATTGCTAAACTCATGGACATGAGTAAAGTTGCCCTGACATTTCCCCTTCGCATTGTCATATTTTCCAAATGACCAAAACGTCTTGGATTTAAAGAGAGAGGTACTTCTGCTTTTCAGAGGTGCATTCTTTGCACCAATAAATAATCTCTGTTGGTTGCATACGCCCTTCTGATAGACGAAAAAGAGCACAAACTGAATGTTACATTGCAAGGCAGGTACAGTTTAGACTTTTCATACACCTTTAAAGCTTTTTACTTGACTATTCATTAAGTGCAGAAGTAATTCAGCTACACTTACTGTGGGAGTTAAAGAACAAGCAACAGTTTCCAGAGAAGTGGAACCTGTCTCCTTTGACCACCTAGGGAAGGCCATACCATTACTGACAATGGAGCAGGAAACACTAAAAATTACTGTAATTATGGCATTTGACCAGCTTTCCAATCAGAAATGTAAGAAACGTCACACTCAGGTCATAATTTTCTTATGGCTTCGAAATGACTTGCTGAATGCAAAGTTTTTTAATTGAGTGGAAAAAGAGGTTGGTTTTGACATCTCAAAATGCCCTGTAAAGGTACAGCTGATTGGAACATTGACTTCTAGAGGACTTCAATAAAAACTCAAAGATTTCTGTCAGTATTCTGAAAAGTGCATTCTTTTCTCTCTCCCTGTAGCAAGACACATCTACATGAGCAGTACACTGATTCTCTGATAAAAGTGAATTCTCTGCTGACATGCTTGTCAGCATTCAAGAGACATGTAACGTACCGGAGTCTCCACTGCACAGTCCTGAAAACAGAAGCTTTATGGTTTAGCTCTAAAGCTATAAAGCTCTGGAGGACATATTGACCCTTGCCTATAGTATTTTACAACTTCAAAGACCATCTCTCTTCTACCTATTTTAATCTCCATCACTGAAGTTTACCTGTTTTGTTTTACATCTGCTCTTTGTATTTTCAACTGCATTTGACAGTTACAAAATGGCATACACAGCACACCAAGATTATACAACCAGCTACACTTGTCTCTATACAGTGCACAGGCTTTGATTTTTGAATCTGACTTAGTTAAGAATTTTGAAATTAGCATGAAGGTCTCAGGAACCTCTTACTGTAATGTGCTCCAAGTCATCAGAGTTGCGATCACAGAGCTGCAACTACAGGCTTAGTGATTGGAATTACCTGTTATTAGCTATGTGTCAGGAGTGAAACCATTAGAAGTGACCAAACTTTCAAATCAGTGATGAAATGACTGATTGAAAATGTGTTTACACCTTACAAATGTTTGCTTTTGCGAAAGAAGCAAATGAATGTGAGTGATCTGTCACAGAATGTATTTCACTTACCTCGGATGTTCAGTCTAAGCTGTTTCAAAAAGGAGATGACAGTTACATGTGACCTTATAGAATAACTTTATGAAATCCCATGTGACTTTCTTATGCAACATGAGAGATCTACTTGCAACAGACAAAGCCAAAAGGAACTGAGAAGGCAGTTAGTTTTTACAAGCATAAAAGCAATCACTCATGAATTGAATTAGGCAACCAAATTATAATTCAGTGTATTTTTCCAGACCACGATCTCTTCACATCTTTTGCAACCTACCCATAACAGTGAAACAAAGAATTGAGTACACAGAGATTTTCCAGATCAGCGAAGCCTTGTGAGTGTTGTGCTGGCAGGGAGCATGGTCCAAGCAGCAGCCTGGCAGGTTGTTTCACAGCACATCGTGGCACAGGCGAGATGAATACTGCAGCAGTAGAGCAACATGAAAGGAAGAGTGGCAGCTCACAAAAGGAAGGGTGACAGAAAAAAAAAACACAAGTGAAGCTGCCATGAAGAGTTATTTTTAGCTGGCAATGCTTGCATATATTGCCATATGCCCTTCCACTATATCATGACTGTACTCATCACAGGGCTGGCCCACAGCAAAGCAGCAACTGGTGACCAAGGCCAACCTCTGCAGGCACCAGTACATGCCCAGAAAAACAGCTTTTTTCCCGCAGCATTTACATTTTTACTGGTCTTTCACTTTTTCATTGATGCTAGAGATCAGAAAGGAAAGCAGGACGTTTTTCTCCTCATTCTTCCCATGAGCATGCTTATGCCAGCATGAATGTCTGTCTAGTCACAGGGTAAACCCAGCTGGTCTATCTGAGAGGAAATAGAGAAAGAAACATGCAGGGTAGCTGATGGGCACATGGGGACTCACATTAGCACCAGGCAAGATGGGGAATGTGGGAAGGTGGGCAAGATCATGACCTTCACCAGCTCTGATAATTTATGTGCACCTTCAAATTATTTTTTGCATTAAAAATGTGCTGCCATTTTTAATGTTTGCAGGCTTTAGCAACATGCTCATTTAAGCTTGATGGAAATTGGCTGGAGGCAGCCTGCAGCAGCATCGTCTAACACCTGCTACCCTGCCAGCACTCACCAGTTTCTGAGCTGGAACAAGTGAACATTGTTTTACGAGAATCCAATATGTCCATGTTTGTTTACAATCCTCATTAGGAGAAGGAATTGTTAATCCACCACTAAAAGTGACTACTTGATCAGGAACAAATACTTGCAGAGTGACTGGCACCTGCCCACCAAATGTAGAATGCTGAGCTCACAGCACAGGTAGACTGCAAACAGCCATACAAGTACTACAGCTTTTATTAAATTCCTTTGGAAGTGGCCATCTTCCTGTATAATTAGCAACATTTTATCATAACAAATGCAACCAAAATGTTCAAAAGCTGCCTTTCTATAATGTCTGCTGACCTAATTGTATCTATGCTAGAAGCTTAGGGCTCTGCTAGTTTATCTGTGTGAGGTAAACACTGCAAAACGTGTTTGCAAGTGATGAATGGTAACTGCACAAGTGTGCAGCTGCAGACCAACCTTTGGCCTCCTTAGGGTTTCTCTCTTCAAAGTGAAGCTCACATAAGCCACTTAGGCTAACCTGGATGAGACTTCAAAAGCAAAGCTCCAGTCTGTACTGATATTTGTCCTACCCCATATTCCTGGAAGAAAAATATTACTGTGTAAGTACCTTTATATAACTTCACTCAAATTAATTTCAATGCAGATTCACTAAAAGTTTTCACTGTTTTAAGACCAAGTAAAGAAATAAGGTTCTACTCATAGTATCATCTTCACTATTTTTTTTTTCAAAATGGCTAGTAATTATCCTCAAGGGAGAATGAGAAAGAACACTTCCTGGTATTAACAGTATGTGAAAACATGTAAACCAGTGGTTTTGAAATGCAGTAGTTACCTTGTAAAGTCATACCCTTATTATTTCACAGTAACTCATCTGTGTAGTTATGCCAAACATAAAAGTGTATGCACAGGAGATGGCATGAGACAGCTGGGATGGAATGTTACTTTGAGCTATTTCCTCACACAAAAATAAGTTCCTAACTGCATGTTCTTATAGGGTATCTGCAAGGTGTGGGGAAAGTTTCAATGGATAAACATTATTAAGCCCCAAATCCTTTGATTCTGGGAAGTAAATGAGGCTATGGAAAGTACTCTTTTTTTTTGGCAAATATGTAGAAGAGAGGTGCTAAAGAACAAGCTCTGCAGAAGGCTTTTCATCAAGCAGAATAAAGGCATAATCACTGCTGCAAAGCATTTTGGACATGATTGCACAAATTTTAGTTCTTGGGTCAACAGAAAAAAAATACAAAGGAAAAATAAGCAATAGACTGGATGTTTCTATTGCTGGTGCTGTTTCTCTAGTTTATGTAAAGGACATTTTCAAGCCCCCAGCAGTAACAAAAATAGCTGAAATGAATTCTCCATTTATCAAGTCACTTGCTGTTAGTATTTACAAAGCAGTGATCATAAATGACAGACAAATCCAAAGCCTTTAAACATAATAAGTAATGTCTGAAGCCCACAGGTTAAAAGATTGGGAGACAACAATATGCACCATACATAAATGTTACACAGGTCTGACCATGTAATCAGTTTTTTAATACTGGATGTTTAAATCTTTGTAACTGTTGTTTTTTGTTGGTTTTTTTTTTGTTTGTTTGTTTTTTTGGTTTTTTTTTTGTTTTGTTGGTTTTTTTTCTTTTGTTCTGTGGGGGGTTCTTTTTCCCTTTTTTTTTTTTTGGTGTGTGTTCTGTTTTGTTTGTTTTGTTTTATTTTCTATTTTTTGTTCCCTGGAATGTAATCCTTAGCTGCCCAGGCAAACAAGTAAGACGGGTGCTTTACTCTCATCCTTTGTGTTGCAAATCTGTTACAGAACTGATTCTTCTGGAATAGAGACAGGCACAGGCAATTTTTGCCCTTAAGTCTCGCAGTATCTCTGTGCATGTGGAAAAATACAGTACCTTCAGCAACAGTCACCAAGTCCTTGGTGGGAAGTTGGAGAGGATTATTCTGGGCAGCTATCTTGTCTCCCTAAAAACATACTTTTTCCTTCAAAAAGGCCTGTCTTGGGAAACAAGTGGGCTGACAAATCAGGTCAGTACATGCTTAGGTCAAACAAAAAGCAAGCTCTTCCTCAAAACTCAAGAGTTTCTGGTTTTGAGTTCAGACACCCCCACACTTCTCCTGCACTGAGCTCCATTTCCACCCTGAGTGGTATTTACCAACATTAAGCTGGAACCCCCTTATCTAGTATAGTCTTCCATATTGCACATGGGCTTCTGTTTGCACATGTTGCAAGCTCAGAAGGTGCTTTGTTGATACCATTCTGCTGTACAAACACCAAGACGTTTGTCTGTCTTCTGTTGTGAGGCAATGAGGCAGAATCATACAGCAAACAAAAGCCTTCTTCTTCATGGCAGCCTTTGTATAAGCATCTGCCAGTTCACCTGTCTCAAACTTGTTCCCCTTGGCTCACATTTCCCAGTGGCAGTCAGATCTCCAGGCTCATCTGTGGTGCTCTTAGGCAGCAGTTTTAACTCAGCATGGTTTCCCAGCTCCCAGTGCACTTACGTAGACTGTTCCTCTTGCTGACACCAGTGACTGCGCAGTAAGACAGCTCAGGCAGCCCCTCCAGCTGGAACGCTGGATCAATCACCTGAATGCAGGGACAAGGAGGGGGATGGACAGGAAACATGAACCACAGCTACCTGAATTCAACAGTTGTCAGCTGCCATGAAGGAACACTCTGTACAAGGACACAGCTTTTACAAAGAAAACAAAAGAAAAAATATAATGCATCCAGCAGGATTTCAAATTACTTATGCTAGTATTTGAAACTCTGAGTCAAACAAGCCAGTAGAAACAAGGGACTTGGAATTAAACCGGCTAAAGCTCCCTGGAAACTACACCTGCCATTTGCATATGCTTCTTTGAGAACTGCAATCCTGACAGCTTTTTCACATCTCTTAAAATAAATGTATATTAAATTTGAACTTCTTGGCAAAGAAGGGATTTTTGGTGACTTGTAGCAGCAGGAAACGTAGCTTGTTCTTACTCAGTAAGGGCTAACCCTAAAATAAAATAAATGCTAAATCCTAAAATAAAAGAGAAATGGTTTATAAAAGATGCAGAAAAGATTGGACATGCAGAAGAATGGTACTTTCCACAAAATTTAATGGACTTTCCACACTACAGTGAGTCACTAAACACGTGACCATTTATTATCCCAAAAAGGGAACAGTGCAGAACATCAAATGTACTAAATGCAAGAAAGAAGCTCTCAGTCACAATTTAGGTCTGTGAATTTACAAATTGTAAACATTGGTTCAAAGAGATGCCGTGAATTCCTCAGGTTTCTAATATGATGGTGGACATGTTAATTTGCACTCAAGTCTGCACATCAAATACTCAAGCTACTAATGCATTAAAGAAATAGTGTGAAAATGAATACCCTACTAGCCTGCAAAAGATTATCAAGATCTGTCATAAAATACAATTTTTTTTTTTTTGTCTTAGACTTCAATAGTCAGTCAGTTTTCCTCTTAAATCCCTCTTTATTCAAGCAAGATGTTTTGGTCAAAAAAGAATGCTTCCAATTTTAAAAAAATTAGTATTTAGTGTCAAATTTGTAGTTTTTTGGCCTTTAGTGAGAAAAGATGCTTTGAAACAACACAGATATAGCAAATTCTAGCTCTGTTAAAAAAAAAAAAATCTAGGGTTCAGCTGGCTTTTAATCTCTTCTACTGTTGCTGGTAGTCCAGAACAGCAATGTTCTGCTAACAGGAACCCTCTGTCCTCAAGCCTATCCTTTAGTCATGGTCAGGTTATCCTAACCTGATCTCATGTTTCCATTTTCCTTCAGTTTCAACTGACTCACTTTGTTCTTCAGATGTATGCATACAGAAAAAAAGCATCCTCTCGCTTCTGAACCTCTCCATATTCACTGCCAGGTTTACCCATTTCCTTGGCAACAAAATTACTTCAGACCAAGTTATTGTTACATTTATTTTAGGCATCTATCTGCAGATCTATTTTCTTCTTTTGTGTGGTCCAACCAGAACAGTTTACAATGTTTTACTTTCTTTTAAAGCTGATTACACTTAGCAGAGCAGATAAAAAACTCAAATCTTTGAAGGCTTGTGGAAAGCTGTGAAGGCATATCCAGGCTGCTGCTGGTAGCCCTGCATGGGGATGCTTCTAAGCAAGGTGGAACTAAGTAATCATTAATAGTCCTTGTCCTGTCCACTACAACTGTGATCCTTCTAACAATAGGCCTAAATAAGATGTTCATAGGTTATAACAACTTTCCTCAAGATAAGGCTTTCAGCTTAACAAAAAAGTTTCAGCCTTCCCCACCACCCACATTAGTCTCCCTGTCTTAAATTAGGACAGGCCTAAAATACTAGCAATAGATAACTCTCTAATTTTGAATTTGCATCATGGTATTTTCCTTTTTATCTATTTTTTTTTTCTTTCTGTTTGTTTCTTTGGTGTTTTTAAAATTTATTTGGTGGTTCTTTTCAATTTTTTAAAAAATTACAGTGTATAAGTATATAGCCAGCTTCAGAATCAATGATCTCTGATTTTTTTAACCTTGTGAGGAAAATTTATTTTAATGGCTACACAAGAAAATTAGCGTATATGTACCTTGAGCTACAAATACAAAAGTACAGTACAAAAATATACAACTTAAAAGCAAAACTATGTTAATATTGTGCATGAATCTAATACCAGGAGGCCTGAATTACATTAAATGGCTCTGATCATTGTAAATACGTAAACACAATACAGTTTATTTTGGGTACAGAACAGAAAACAGGAAATAATACAACCGGCCCACTCATCTACAGATGCTAATTTCAGGAGACAATCTCTTGTGTGGAAATTTACCGCTGCTATATTTCAGTAGATTTCTAATGTAAACTGCAACAGCTTTGGAGTTGAATTTCATTGCAGTGTACAGTGGACTCCAATAGACTCAGCTTACTAACATACCTACCTTAATGACCACAGTATAACTTACATTTTGTCTTGTGCTGCAGAAACTCTCTCGGATCTGTGTCAGCCCAGGACAGGGTATGGGGCATCTAGGGCACGGGAAGTCCTGAACTCTTACTCTGCAGCACTTGGAATAAAATATCAATTCAAGCGGTCAGATAATCATTTAACAACCAGAAGTCCGTGATTAAAAAAAACAGTATCAAAAATTCAATCTCCCACCCGAGAGTCACTAGTAGCACCAGGAGCTGCTATCCACGCGGAGCGGGAGACTGTCAGCTCCAGGCCGGGGCTGTTTGCCGGTGTCTCTCGGCAGTGCCGGTACCCGTGTGGTGAGGGCAGTGGCGGGGGCGGGCCGGGGCTGCCCGTTCCCCGTTCCCGGCGGGCCGGCGCTCGCCCGCTCCCGGCAGTGCCCGGGAGGTGCCCGGGAAGCCCCCACGGCACCACGCGACCGCCGCGCGCCGACAGCGCACCGCTGCGGAGCGCGAGCAGCTCTCATTGGCACCGCCCCGATGGACGGGGCTCCGCCGGCGCTTCCCGCGCTCCTATTGGGCGTGCCCCGGGAAGGGGCGGTGCCGCCTCCTCACGTGAGCTGGGGCCGCGCGTTCTCCTGCTCGATGGCGCCCTCTGGCTGTCGGCGGTCTCACGGTCTCGCCACGCCGGCATGGAGGGGAGCGGCGGCGGCGGCGGCGGCGGCGGCGGGGCGGATCCGGGCCCGGGCCCGGCCACGGCCCCGGGCGGGGAGGGCGAGGGCTGCGAGGGGCTGTGGGAGCTGCCGGTGGAGCGCTGCGAGAGGCGGCCCGTGTGCGGGCGCTGCAGGTGACGCGGGCGTGGGGCCGAGGAGGTGCCGCTGGGCCGGTGGGTCCCGCCCCGCTCGCCGTGAGGCGGCGCTGGGGCCTCGGGCGGGCGCGGGTCGGTGGCTCGGCAGGGACTGAGTCTCCCTCAGGGACACCCGAACAGAGCGGGTCGGTGTGAGGGGGGTCTCGCTCGCCCTATGCGCCCTCCAGCGCCTATGGCATCGCACAGTCCCGGCACGGGTCGGGCTGGGAGGGACCGCGCGGGGTCATCTGGTTCAGCCTCCCTGCTCAAGCAAGACCATCCCAAAGCAAAGGATTGCATCCAGATGGTTCTTGGGTATCCCCAGTGACGGAGACTCCACAGCCTCTCTGGACAATCTGTTCCAGACACAGTAGAGATGTTCTTCCTCGTGCTCAGGTGGAACTTGGTGTGCATCAGTTTCTGGTTGTTTCCTCTTGTCCCGAGGCCATCATTTCCTAAAGGCACGCACACACTTCTTGTGTAGCAATAACATGACATGAATTAACTCTGTTGTCCAATAAATTGGTAAATGTGATGGGGAATACCTAGAAGCTCAAAACAGAGAGGGTGCTACACCTTTTCTCTGTATGCTCCCCTTTGAAAAGCAGAGGGGAAGCAATGTGTCCTCTCAGTGCCATGCAGCGAGGACATGAGGCTCAGTACGTCTGGGCAGTCTTTGGTGCTCTGTCAAAAGAAAATGAGAAACTAGCCTTACCTAGTAGCTTTACAGCTAATTGTGAAATCCATTCAACACTGGTTAATACAGCTTGTGAATTCAGGTGTCTTTTTGAAGCAGGCTGACTTATGGTCTTACAGAAATACCTCACAACCTGATATTATGCTTATGTATATATGTATGTACTTTTAGTAAAGTGAGTGCAAGTTCCTGAACTGAAATGCTTGTGCATAACTTCCAGGGAAAAAAGGCTTCTTAGCACCTATACTTATTCATCTGTTCATGGTCATTGGTGAAATGAGTAGAAAGGCATGTAGTTTTGCTAACGTGGTAGTTGCAGTCTCTTTCAAGTGTCAAGAGTTCAGAAGCTTATTGCTGGTGAGTTTCCTGTATGTAAGTTATAATAAATAATATGTATTGTGCAAGTCATAGTATTTGTAAGTGTTCACTGTTAGAAAAAGTCGTCATAAGCTATAGTTGATGCTCAGAGATGAAAACCAAGCAGATGAGTGACACTAGCCTTTTGCTGCCCTCTTTTTCTCCAGTGACTTCTAGCTCAAAGAACTTCTTGAGCCGGATGTGGTTCTGTATCTAATATCCCCCAGTAAATGTAGGGGGGTTTTTTTATGTGAATTTCCCCAGTCCCACTTGAACCCATGTAAATTCCATGTATCAGCAACATCTGGCTAGCAAGGACACACCACAGGCCTACAAACCACAGTGGGGAGGAATTAGCTTTTAATTTATTTTGACTGTGGCTTCCACTGTCCTCCCTTGCACAAAGTATTCGAGGTATGAGCAAGCCAGCTGGAGATTTACACCTTGGGTGGTGCATTTCTGTTTATATAAGGATCCTTCCTCATCCTGTAGCTGCTTAGTTTCCTAGTAACCTTTTGGGAACTCTTTTGGAAAGCCAAAGTTGATTTTTGTCAACTACAGCACTCTCACCCCTGTATTTATTGACTCTTTCAGAGATCTTAAATGGTTCTGAAAAGTTATGTTTCCTTTTCCTAAAGCCATGCCAATTCTTTTCATATAAACCATGTATTTTTGTAAGGTTCTACTAACCATATTTTTATTTGTAGTTTCTGTTCACATTAGCAGTCTTCTTTGTTGAATTTTTTTTGTAGTAGTAGTTGCTTACTGTTCAACATTCCTAGTCCTTACATGCCAAGGAATTGGCTGAGTGAGAGTTAACCCACTGTCAGCCCTTACTGTGCTTTTTAATTTTGAGTTCTTTCAAAATGCCTGTAGAGTACTGCTGTTGTTGTGGTTATTTTATTAGTGTGTTTCACAATATCTACTTCAGATCCTTAAATTTTGAACAGATTCTCTGAAGAGTCACATACAAAAATGGTTTCTAGAATGGGTATCTCTCTGTTTTCTTTCATAGTAAATGTGATGCAAAATATTTGTCCAGCTCCTCATTACCATGTAGAGTATCAAAATATCAGCTTCCTAAAGAGCTGTGGATGAATTACATCTCCTTGTGAGGAGCATGGGAACAATGAGCACAGACACTGAAAGAAATGTAGGGGCAGAGAAACCAAGGAGGATGTAAAGACCACAGGGCTACTGTTTAAGAAAAAAGGAATTTTTTTTTTTTTTGTGGTGGTGACAATGCAAGACTAAATTGTACATTCCGTGTACTTTTGCACTGTATCTCCTCCATGCTGTTCTTCAGGATTATAGCTAAATTTCATTAATTTATAGCTAATTTTCATTAATCATGACTTTCTGTGGCATGACTTGAAGTGGGTAACACTGTAACTTAGGATGCCTCATGGGAAGCGATATTACCCTTAATAGTATCATGTTGGTTGGGGCCAGGTATATTTAATTGACTTCCTCAATTTTCTGAACTCTACATTTTTGTTCTAAATTCATTAATGAATGTGATTTAGGTCTGAAATCAGTAGAAAAGCGTGGAAGAATGGGTTCTCTTTAGCATCATCTGGTGATTCCTCAGGGGAACTGACTTCAGGTTCTGATTTTTTTTAGAAATGTCAAGACAACCGATTGACAACTTGCTAACAAGTGCTCAGTCAGTTAAGATGTGGGAGTAAGGTAGATAGGTTTTCATTTTGGATAATGTGAATGTCACTTGAGTGTCCTGAAGGAACAGGATGTTTCTAAGTGTTATGTGTTTGAGGCTTCTTATTGCCTGTGGTGGTGGAGAAAATTATTAGCATTTGCAATAGCTTATGGGGGAGAATTTGAGTGAAACAATGTAATACAGTTTTACATTTTGAAGGTGTTGTGTGTGTAAGTGCCAGTTTAAAAAAAAATTAAAATGACCCTGCTTATGATTGGTGTTTGAGATGCATGCAGCATCTGATGCAAATGAGGTCTGTGCATCATACTGTTTTGTTCTTGAGGAGAGAATTTAAAACACATTCTGTCTGCCAAAACCAAAAGATTAGTGGTGATAAACTATGAATTAATGACTTCTTAAGGCTTTCATAGCTAACTTAAGTATTCTACTTGCTTTCAGAAGTTAAAGCTCCACACCCAAACATTTAAATAGGAGACTAGGTTTAATATAATTTCCAAATTGCTATTAGCTTGAAAAACAAAATGAGCAGGCCCTACAACTGAAGTAATGTAGGAGAACAATTTGATTTTGTGGTGTGACACTGATAGTAATTTAACATTTTGAAATTGTGAACTTCTCTGGGTCAGATTTTATTGTTTTCTAGATAGATGGTGTTCTGTTAGGGAAAAAGCCTTTTATTTGTACAAGAGCCATGAATTGACTTCTTGCCATAAATCTTGACTATAAATATGGAAAGCTCCATTGTTATAAGAGAATTTCTGGGTAATATTTTCAGAAGAAATTGTGACCTTAAACTGTATTATGTATCATCTCTGGACATTGCTAGGTGTCACGTAGGCCATCAAAAATACCCACTGGTAACAGTCCTCTATATTTGCAGGACGAGTTTGTGTTGTAAAGTTAGGTTAACAACAATTGGTATTTTTTCAGTTCTGCTATAATATATGCTGTGCTGCTGTATATGTATTTCAAGGGTGGGGGCAGGAAAAGGAGTAACATTCTCCTTTAATAGAAATACTCCCTTTGCCTATAACTAAAATAATGACAGTGAATTTGGGTGCTGTGAGGGCTCTTGATAGCATTGATAATTCAATGATGACTTATGATGACATATTTTTCTTCATATTTTGAGGAAGAATATAGTGTTCTTATATAAGTGTCACATATTTGTTAATAATTCTGTTATGTCATATAAAGGCTGAGTCTGAAAAAGCAATTTGGGCTTTCTTCAGCACAATAGATATATGCATTTGCTTTATAGCACACTGTTATGATATTTAGGTGCAAACGTGAATTTTTAAAGTTTGAGTAGCAGTCGCAGAAAGTGAAATAAGCATGCATTAAGTATTTTAGCAATGGCTGTTGCGAGAAAATAGCTTCATAACCTTTTATTACTTATACTTCAGGATGATTTTTTTCCAGTTGGCATGTTTTTGTTATTGCTGTGTGGAGATGAATACCTGCTTCCTATGAGAACATAATTGTCAATTGCCACCCTGTCATGGATTGAGGCTGGCACAGTGTCAGCGCCCCCATGAAAATATACTTTCCCTAGTGGCCTCTGTGAGATGTGATCAGGAACAGAGCAAAGCAGGCTCTAACTTAGGAGTAAAGGAAACAAACTTTATTAATTACAATGTCTAAAAAGGAACAGACACAGCACTAAGAATGAAAACCTTCCAAATACATTTCTCCTCCTCCCCCCCCCATTTCTTCCACAGCATGAAATAACACCATAGATTTCCACCCCGTCACCATCTCTCAGATAATCAACTTTCAATCCATCACCACCCCTTAGAATAATCGACTCTCAAGTCTATCAGGGAGAGAGGAATCCCTCCTTGCACCATAGGCTTCCCCCAGAAACACAGTTGAAACCTCTTGTGTTTCCATGTCACTCATGGAGTGAGTGACATCTCACTCCTGGAGTGACATGGAAACACA